CTCTCTCTCTCTCTCTCTCTCTCTCTCTCTCTCTCTCTCTCTCTCTCTCTCCCCCAGCACTTAATTACTAGAACTGTAACAATATAGACTGTCAAGCGCTAAGAGCTCTCTTTCGATCGAGGATTTTCGAATCTGTTCGAGACGACCAACCATTGTCGAGGTGAATAGAGTTCATTTTAAACAGGTGGCCCCCTTGTAGAGTGCCATTATAATTATTATTTTATAAAACGCAAGGGGGAAGTGAGAAGTGGTCGTTTGTACAGGTGATTGTCCTGAACAAGAGGTTGCTTAAATAGGTTAGACATTTCATGGATATGTAAGATAGAACAGACAACAGCAATCCTTTCCGTGGAACAAATAGATTGTACAGAGCTTAAAGCTTGCTTTTGAACGGGAATTAGCTCTATACGAAAACCGTGTTATTGTTATTGTTGTATTTTTATAACGATTTGTGAGGTAAGATTTTCCTGCACTATGACATGAAAACGTTAATAACATAACATATTAATATAACATACTGTCATGATAACAAACCTTAAGCGGTTGCAACACTGATATTAATTGCAGGCACGCACAACTACTACCTCATCCACATCAGCAGCAACAACAACAACAACAATAACACAAATAACTACGACACCATCATCATGGTCATCATCAAAAATTACAACAACATCTACTGCATTTTATTTTATTGTTGTTGCTGCTGTTGGTGGCGTTGCTGTTGTTTTCGTTTTTGTGGTGCTGTTGTTGTTGTTGTTGTTGTTGCTGCTGCTGCTGTTATTGTTGCTGCTGTTGTTGTTTCTATTGTTGTTGATAGGCATGCTAAAAGTGGTGTTGCTATTTCTGCTTATGCTGCTGCGGTTGTTATTGTTGTTGTCCTTGTTGTTGTTGTTGTTGTTGTTGTTGATGTTGATCGAGTTACTATTAGTGTTACTGCTGAAAGTGTTGTAGCTACTAATGTTGCTGCTGATGCTGCAGTTGTTGCTGCTGCTGCTGCTACTGTTATTATTATTTTTCCAAGATGAAAAGAGTTGCTGTTAGTGTGGTTACTGCAACTGCTGCTGCTCCTGCTTCTGCAACTGCTGCTGCAACCACCACCACCACTCTAACAACTCACTTACCGATGATAAAGCCTGCAGCCACACCGGCGTAGCCAAAGAGCGTTGCCAGAGAGGTGGCGGTGGTCCTCTGTGACATCGGGAACCACAGAGAAGACAACAGGGACACCGCGCTGAACGGCACAATTGCTCCCCAGGCCACCAACACCTGGCCGAAAGTTGTCATCCTGGACACACAAAAAGGTTAAATGTTTTCGGTTGGGATTTTCTTTACTTTTCCTCTTTTTTTTTTTTTTTTTTTTTTTTTTTGGTGTTATCAACCACTGGAAAAGAGGTTCACTGATTCTTTTAGATTTATTGTTTGTTTGTTTTAGGGGAGTCGTTGTTGTTGTTTTGTTTTTGGGAAGGGGGTGTTTGTTTGTTTTTTTTCATTATTCTTGGGAAAAAAGAGATTTGTTTTTGAATTTTCCATATCGTATTAGAAAAAAAGTAAAAGAAACAAAAGCATTGCCGAGAAAAGAGTTTTGGTGGTTTATTTTTACAAACCATTTTAGAAAAAAAAATGTCTTGACGTTCATCTTGGAAAAAGTGTTTTAGCGGATTATTTTAGAAAAATATATTTCACAGACCCC